AGGAGATAAGTAAGGGTTTATAATAGATGATGTAGAAGAATAACCTACACTGAAATTCACACTCATAGCAACTCATCAAGATGCAGGGTAGTTTTGTGGTTAAGGGCACAGCATTTTTTAATGTGTGGTTTCAGCCAAGTTATTTAATCTCTCAAAGTCTCAGTTTCCTCATAATTTAGAGGGATAATGATACCTCATACAGTTGTTCTACAGAGATAATGTAGATGCTGAGATATGTTAGTTATAGGTAACTATTATTATTAAAACTATTAGTATTATTGTAAACTGCAGATTCACAGTGGACTTCAAGGTTCTGCTACCCCAATCTAATAAACTGTGCAGACTTTGAGAATAAATGTTAAAAACAAACCATTAGATGATCAAACAATTGGAGGAGAATGCACATGTAGAGAATAAAAATTCTAATAAACTTTTGAATCAGTACATCATGTCCATTAACTTTCATCCTACCATTTTGTCCCTGGGAACTTACTTTCAAAAGGTAGCCATCTACTTTTGCTTTTGATTGATTTCATTCTTTTTACATTGAGGGGAGATTATAAATTAAAGACACTAGTTTTTATTGACTTCCTTCATTACTCTGTAGCTCCATTTTGTCTACTTATTGTGAAGTTTCTGTCCCCTGCCTTTCTGTGGGATAAATATAAATTTTCTCACCCTGTTCAAAGAGCAAGCATTATGACCCCGAATCCTAAAAACATCTCTATTTTATAATATAATTTTTTAAAAGATGGTAAAAAAATTGGGCTCCTGGGTGTCTCAGTCAGTTCAACATCCAACTCTTGATGTCAGCACAGGTCATGATCCCAGGGTTGTGGGATCAAGCCCCGCATCCGGCTTTGCACTAAGTGTGGAGCCTTCTTGGAATTCTCTCTCTTCCCTGCTTTCTCTCTCTCAAAAATTAGTAAAATAAATGAATAAACAATGGTAAAAAAATTAACCAGTGTAAAATGAAAAAAAAAAAAACCCAAAAAACAAAAACAAACTTGAAGAAAGTGAGCATTAAAATATTGTGAAATGATTGTTACAAAAACAGAGAAACCACTAAAAACGAGTCTGGTTTGGGTTCGAGTATTTTTGTCTGAATGAACTTCAGCTTTTGGTTGGCCCACTGAAATTCACTGAATTCAGGGAAATTTTGAGATTTGAAATGGTAACAACGTGTAGTAGTTAGAGCCTCAGACACAGCACCTGGGAGTGGTGGTTTTCTTGTGTTTCACTCTTTGAATCTTTCAGAAGAGAAGTGAAATTCTATAATCTAAATGTCACTGATTTATTTAGTTTTGACATGCAATTTCTCTTGTATCCAGTGTAATTTCTCTTATATCAAGTCATATGTGAGTCCACTTGGGTTTGAAAACTTTATAGATCATCTTGCAGTGAGTATTTTCGTAAAAAAGAAATTAGGACTGAAATCCAAGATCTCAGCTGCCTAACACTTAATAAAAAGGATATCCTTAACTCAGTTTTTAAAAGCTATTCTGTAATCATTCATTTATTGTTGAAGTAATGCACTAGTGTTTTCAAGCAGTTTTACTACATTATTTTTTTATTTAAACATTTTTTTTTAACTGTGGTAAAAGAAATAACATGAGATTTGCCACCTTAACCATTTTGAGTTAACTGCAGTTCTGGGTGGTAAGTAGATTCATATCGTTGTGCAATAGAACTCCAGAACTTTCTCATCTTGCAAAACTGAAACTCTACACTCATCAAACAAGAACTCCTCATTTTCTCCTCCCCCAAGCTCCTGCTCAATTCAGTTTTTAAGTGAGGTATGTATATGTTTTGTAATTATAGTTTGATGGGGCCAGAAGTCATTTAGATGGATTGCAAACTGTGCTCTTACCTGAAAGTAGGAAATGAACGTTCATAGTTGGCATTTTTATTAGTTGAACTATAGGATACTACTTAATGTCATACATGAAGTACTTGACAAGCAGGCATCACTCATAATTTCTTTTTAAGTTTAGTTATTTATTTTTGAGAGAGAAATAATCCTAAAAACTAATCCTAACATGGGGCTAGATCTCATAACCCTGAGATCATGACCTGAGCTAAAATCAAGAGTTGGATGTTTAACTAACTGAGCCATCCAGGCACTAATAATTTTGAGTCATAAATTTTACAATCAAAATCAAAACCAAAACTGGAATAAGGCAGAAAACTTGATAATGAAGGAGGGCAACTTTTGAAATATAAAAATAATTAAGAAGTTGCAAAATTATTTTCTGTTGAGATCTTTAGAAAGGCAAATATTCATTTGAATATTGTGGTTTTGTTGAGGTACTAGCAGCAGGCCGAGGACAGTGTCAATATGTCCCGAGCTAGTCCCCTTTCCTGGACTTTCTGAGGCTGTGCTTAAGGAGTCTGCTGTGGCCACCGTATAAGGCAAAATCCAGAAGAAGGAAATGTTGAAATGTGGGTAGTGATATCTTAGAGCTCTAACTTGCTTGACCAAAAGCATTTTTTGAATACTCAGAGTCCTGGTTGGGAAATGAATATGATGGAAGAGGTTTAAGTGCCAGAGGGAGGGAGGCCGCGACACCCTAGTGCAATTCTCCAAGGCAATGAGACACCATCTTATTGGCTACCTCCTAGCATCATCTTCATAGTCTCCATGCTCTAATATGATGGGCAAAATATGGGAAGGTAATGAAGTTGATGATGATAATGACGACGACATTGATGTGATCCTGAGAAAGGCAGTCACCCACACTCATGGATGCTCTATTCTTACCTCAGGTGTCTTGCCTGATATGGCTCTGATTTGGGGAACTCAGTGTTTGATGACTCTCCTTAAGTCTTTACAGGATTAGACTTACAGATCTCCAGTTGTTTAAAACTTGGTCCTAGTGTGTTTCAGGTACATTTTACATTAAACCAGTTTTTATGTGTCAGTCTGGGAACTTAATTATCATTTATAAACTTGTTTCCTTGCTAAAAATGTATTTTGAGTCCAAAACTAAGAAATTAAAATTTTTAAGGAAATGACCCTTTTTAAGTAGGAAATTGTTTCAATTTGTTCTTGTAATTCTGTATCAGCATTTAATAATATATTTTAATTTGGTTTTGGAATGAAAGCTATAGCTTAATTTTAGTAGTGGAAGAGAACAGTAGGGTAGCTAAAAAATGAACAGTATTACATACATTAAGCTCTTGATACATATTGGTTGAATTAATTAAATACAAAGTCATTTGTATTTAGTTATTTGACTTTGAAATATAGGGTAAAAGTTTTTAAACTTTAATTGAATTTTTTAATGATACTTTTCCTATTTTTATATTAATGTGAATTTTCACATTTCTAACTCACATATTTTGCCTACTCTGGCCTTATTCTAGGTAGTGGGGAGAGTTAACCTAAAATTATAAATATGCTTCAAGCAACCTACAGTTCCAAGCATGGATCATCAAGTATAAATGGTGTTAATACTACTTAGGTAAGCGGTAAGTAAGCTACAGGCAACTGTGATGGAGAGGAACAAGTGGTTATAGTGAGTCACTTAACCACATCTGGGTTGCCAATATGCTACTTGAGATTTTTTTTTTAAGGTTCTTCCAACGGTGGAATATATCGAGATAAATGCAGTGTTAATTATAACATATTGGCGAGGCTTCTGGGGGGCTAAGTCAGTTAGGTGTCTGACTCTTGATTTTGGCTCAGGTCATGATCTCACGGTTTATGAGACTGAGCCCTACATCAGGTTCTGCACTGACAGTGTGGAGTCTGCTTGGGGTTCTCTCTCTCCCTCTTTCTATGCCCTTCCCACAATTGTACTCTCTTGCTCACACAAAATCAATAAATAAACTTAAAAAAGGAAAAAAATATAACAAATTGGCATATGAAATAAGACTATGTGTTGTATCTCCTACCTTATTTCCTGCTTGAACTGATCAGCTGACATAGCCTGTAGGCCTGGGCCTTTTCCTTTCTCAAAGTCTTATTTGATTTTCTCTCTCTCTCTCGCTCTCTGTCTCTCTGTCTCTCTCGCAGTTGCTAGAGACAGGCTTCCTGGTTAGAGGAAGACCATTTTTAAGGCAAGAACATATGTGTGGCTACACTCCTCTATTAGGGCCTACACCACAGTTAATACAGTGAGCACGCTCCTTCACCCAAATGGTCATGTATACCTTGGGGACATTACATAATGTGGAAGGGGTCCAGGGAACATTACAATTAGAAAAGGCAACAGATTAGAACCCTAGAGACCTTGTGGATAGGTATAATGAAGTTATAACAATTTCACCAATGTTTACCAATGATTAAAATGTTTTCCATGTGCCAGGTGCTATATGCATCATCTGTTCAGTCCTCACAAAGCCTTATAAGGTAATCTTCTGATTAATCCCATTTTAAGATTTAAAAAAAGCCAAACAAATTCGGAGGTTTAGAGAAGTTAAATCATATTCCTCAAGCTTACGCAGATAGTAAAATAGACCCGGAGTTCACCCAAAGATTGTCAGACCCCACCACAAACTTGTCAATTATTTTGCTAGTGTTTGCTACCATGGTGGTGGGGATTTGAGAAGACAATTTTCCTTGAGTGAACATTTTGCCTAGTTATTGCAAATTAGTTAGAGGTAAAGTTCTTTACATTTTCTCATTTGTCCTGTTTTCTTCTTTTTCACTTCTGGTCTTTTCTTCCCTCCTCTCATGTCACTTCCAAGTTGGTAGTAGAGGCCATGATTCCTGCCCATTGTGCCCTCACCACAAAGCCCGGATTAATTTGGACAAAGGAGCCAAAAACATGGTAGCCAGTCAGTTTCTCTTTCTACGTGCTTTAGCCTAGCTCTCAGGGTGAATTTAGATGAGGCACACTCAAGGATATCCATGAGTAATAACTATAAGCTCTGTCATAGATAACTGTAGCGGGTGTGTTTAAACGTACAACTCTGTTTTTCTATTATTATGTGATATTTCACGTTGACTTGTCAAACTGAAAAATACCCATATTGATTTTGCAGAAAGCTTCACATGTGAGATAAATGCACTCAGAGACTCCTCACAAGTAGCTCTTTGGCGCTTCAGATGTGAAATGGATCATTCCTCAATCTGTAATAGACCCTTCTGTGAAGCTCTTCAATCAAACCTGAGAATTCAAGGTGAAATGGAGGGGAGCCTGGGAGACCCCTACAGGGGGATTTGAGCGAACCATCTAGGAAAGCAACCGGCGGTATTCGCTGCCTCTTTTTTTTAGGTTTTTTTTTTTTTTCTTCTTGAGAGTAGGAAGGTGGTCAATCCCTTTGCGACCCTCCCCGCCGCTTGCGCTTGCGTGCGGTACCTGGGCACAGGGAGGGGAGCTGTAGAGGCGCTCGCAAGTCACATGCGCCTTTGATATCCTTCCGCCTGTGTTTTCTGACAAGTTCCAGATTATTTTTAAAGCAGCTATTTGATACGATTTATTACACAGAGTTTCTCTTTCCACCAAATCATTTATGTTGTTATGTTTGAGAAGGTGAAATTTTCCTTTTGAGAAAAGCGTTCGTTTTAAAAAAGAAGTTAGTGATGTATAATAACTACTTTAGTTAGAAAGAATTGTCGTAGTTTGCGAAGCAGTATTCCTGGGAAGTGCATCTTATTTAAGAATCCTATTTGTAGATCATGTCATGACTTTTAGTTAGTTTGCTCCCAGTAAAGCAACAAGAGTTACCCCTAGTAAGGAAAACAGCATCTTCTGAAGCTAGTTTTTATGTCACATTTAAAAAACTTTATTTGGGGGGCACATTTTCAGTTGGATATTTCTAGGTTAATTAAAAAAAAAAACTTCAAGAATTTCCAATGGGTTATATCGTTGGGGGGAGCTGGGAGTCCTGACAGCAAACTAAGTAAGAAAAACTATGCTTTGGAATTTATGTTCAAATACAGAATATGTTTAATAACAGTTTTTGATGCTCAAGCTGTTATGAAATGATTGCTGTCCCCTCACTGTATCAGAGTTTTCCCAAGCCATGGAGACGACGTTGTTTGTAAAGCTCACATATTAGTATAATCTTAAGAGCATATTAATTGCCCAGGAGGTTTCTGTATTTGTTCTGCACATGTGATTAAAGATCACGGGAGCTTATACCGCATAATTTTAGAGATGGAGAAAACGACTATTGTAATACTTGCTACTCTCAGTTTCCTCTACAGCAATGCCCTTACACCTTTCTTTTTCAGGCGTTTTGTAGCATCCTAAACAGAAGGATATTGAAGGGAGCTGATTCTGCTTTGATCCTTGTGCTTGTTGTCAAAGCGCTTGGGATTGAAGAGACTGTTGGCTACAATTGACTGTGACAATTAGGAGATGATCAGAGCCCTAGAGTGGAGCACTTAAAGGGTAATTTACATGTCAGTTTGTCGAATAAAAAAAAAAAAAAGATATTCAGCTAAGATTTTTTTTCCCCCTCAGAGCCTTGTAAACTGCAATTTGTGCTCTGGTAAGAAAAACCTGGCAGAGGAGTTAGGATAGCCATTACCATTTGAAAAGAAGCAATCATAAGGCCGCTGCTGAGCCCTTTGTCCACTAAAAATGCTGATTTGCAGGCAGTGAGTGAAAAAGTGGAACCGTCACTAAATAAAACCTTGAGCTAGGTAACTACCCTCGTGGCTCCTGGGGGCTTTTAATGTTGGTTAAAGGTGTTTTTAAAAAACGTATCTTAAATCCTATACTTGTTATTGTTATAACATTGTGATTGGTCATGAATGTCCTTTCCTAAAAAGATAATATAAACACATTGAGGAAGTGGTAGGTGGAACCCAGGCAACAGTGAACTGCAAAGCTGATGCTGGCTGTCAGTTGTATCTGACTCTTGTCCCTTGTGCAGCATCAGTCAACCCTTCATGCTCTATTTTCCGCCTACTGTATCAGTGGGCTCCTAGGTTTTCCCAGGTTTCTTTATACTCTGATTTTAAAGTGGGAGCTGCATTTCTAACCTTCACAGTTAGCCATTTGGGTGTACTTGGCTAAAGATACAATGTACTTTCACCGTGATTTGCTATTCATACGTGGTCATCTCTATACTTTTCTGTTAGGTAATCCATACGCACAAATAAAAAAAATAGCTAGAAAGTGAAAAGAGGTTAATTGCCAGTAAATATGATGATAGCAGTTACACATTGCCCATTTAATTGTCAAATAGAATAAGAAAAATTAGTTATTTCAAAAATTTTTTGAGTCTTCCCCCTTCCCTGGAAATCATTAATACAATAATAATAATAATAATAATAATTAATGGTCACATGTCATTGCAATATTTTCATTTGGGAAATTATCTAAAAAGGAAGTTAATGTGTCGGGGTGCCTGGGTGGTTCAGTTGGTTGAGCATCTGACTCTTGATTTCAGCTCACATCATTATCCCAGGGTTATGGGATCAGGCCCCACATTGGGCTCTGCACTGAGAGGGAAGCCTACTTGGGATTCTCTCTCCCACTCCCTGCCCCTCTGTCCCCTGCCCCACTTTGTGCTCTCTCTCTAAAAAATAAAAAAATCTTTAAAAATATTTAAAAAGAAGTTAATGTATCAACACAACCATCCTGTCTTTACTCAAATTTGGTGTGTGTATTTAATTCAGAGATAGATATTAACTTTCAATGGCAGATACATTGTGTATTCCATTTTTTGTAGACTTAGCTACTGGTAAAGGGCATTTGAAGAAAGGCAGTAGGTTAGCAATGAGTTTGTCTTTCTCCTGAAACACCAGGCTTTATTGATAAAAGCTAACAGCACGCATGGCCTTCAAAAGCCAAAGGTTGCAACAGCCTATTGCTGTTGGCTTGTGTCCTTCATCTGGGTACTGTGTGTCTGGTTTTAAGGCTACCCGGCCATTAAGGACACATCTCAGAAGGAGAGGGCTTTGTTTCTCTTCATTTACATCTGATACCTTAATAACAACATTTTTTTTTTTCAAGGCATGCTTGATAGGACTTTATGAAAAGGACTGGCATTCTGCTTGCGGAGGTTTCTGAAAATCTTATAAGAGTCAATGTGGAGTTGATTGAGAGAAGTCAGTAATTCATAGACAGATACTGGCACCTCCTCTGACTGCTTTACTAGAAGTCCCTGAACTTCTTAAACAGTTCTTTAACTCTAGTTTTCCTTGGATGCATGCCCCCCTTACAAAGAAGAACACACAAGCAAGGAAAAAATAAGAATGAATCGGTTAGTCAGTGCAAAGAGGATAATGAGAGAGGGAGTCAGGGAAGGTCTGGGCTTTTGCATGTGTCTGCAGAATGCAGGCAATGGTAAGTCTGTATCAAAAATCAGGCACAGCGGGAGGTGTTCGTCTCCCAGGTAATGGGTAAATGATGAGCAGATGAGCCATCCTTGTATCGATTTAAGCATTTTGTTCCAGCCAGTCACAATTAACTTTGATTTGTTTTTACTTTCCTCTTATAGGTTTGCATTTAAAACACTCGGAGCACTAATTGTATAAAATTCTGGTAGCTGCACATTCTCTTTTTGGAGAGGTAATGAGTGAATGAATGAAAAGGCAGGGATCATTTGCCATTCTAAGAGCGGGGATTGTCAGAATATTTCTACTTGACTGAAATTGCTTTGGAAGGTGAGCTGGAACGAGAATCTTGCAACTAAAATGAAGTGACTCTGCATGTGGTTTTGGGCTGTTTGTCTTTGTCGAGGAATTCTGCGGAACTGTTCCGGGACTTAGAAGTTGACTTTGATTTTATTTATAAGGTGAATCCTATGAAAACATTTTAAAGTACGCATCTTTGAGTCTTAACAAGTAGGCGGAGTCTTTGGAAAGCTCATTTGGAGTTATTTAAAGAGTTTTCCTGTTCCCATCACAGTGTTTTTTCAATATACAGATTGCCAGGTTGTGACAAAATAAATTATTGAAAGGCTTTGAAAAGTTTTTAGAAATGTGCCCAAAGAAACACTATGCAAATCGTTAGAGTTAATTCACATGTCAATTTATTGAAATGTTGCTACTGCCGAAGAGTCCATGAACCTTTCGCACAACATTCCAGAACATCTACAGTCTTGTTTTCATGAGTAGCACTTTCTTTGTACTTGTTTGGAGGTAGCGATAGAGTTGTCAGATAGAGCAAATAAAAATAAAGAATTCCTAGTTAAATTTGAATTTCTGATAAATAATGAATATTTTTTCAGATGAGTGGGTTCCATGCAATGTTCCCATTTTATCAGGGAACCCTAGGGGGCACTCTGATTTGGTAGAAATTGCGACCATGCATTGAATGGACAATGTAATTATTTATAAATTATAAATTGTCACTTACAAATCATTTTATCTTTCACTGTCAGATTAGATAGGCCAACAAGCTTGCCCCTTTCAAATAGAAACCAAAAGGCTTTTAACTCATTAATGCTGAGTTTAATTTCTTCCATCACGTTCCCTGCACAAGCTGTGACTCGTCATTTCAAGTATATAGTAATTTCTGCCGCACTGACACAATGGAGACTTCAGAGTCCGTGGTGGAGGCGGCTGGCTTACCCACTCTGGTCAGGCTTTGACTGGAGTATTTCCTAGTTACAGGGGTAGAGGACTGGATGATGCAGTGAGAATATCTTACTTTTGTGAAGCCACGTATTTTCTTTTGGGACAATAGTATGACTACATAGTTGACCAAGTTGGAAATCCCTGGGCCTTCGATCCTGGTAGCATCTTCTGGGAAGGGAAAGATTTTGTATCCTTGAACTTTGATTTGTTGCATTTAATTTGATTTGCCATAATCTGATTGTCATGAAAGAAGCTAAACTAGGGGCACCTGGGGGGCTCAGTGAGTTAAGCATTCAACTCTTGGTTTTGCCTCAGGTCATGATCTCATGGTTCCTGAGATTGGGCCCTGCATCAGGCTCTGTGCTGACGGCAAGGGAGCCTACTTGGGATTCTCTCTCTCTCTCTCTCTCTCTCTCTCTCTGCCCCTCCTCCACTTTCTCTTTCTCTCTCTCTCTCCAAGTAAATAAATATACTTAAAAATTTTTTTAACATTTATTTATTTTTGAGAGAGAGGGACAGAGCATGAGCAGCCAAGGAGCAGAGAGACAGGGAGACAGAATCTGAAGCAGGCTCGGGGTCCAAGCTGTCAACACAGAGCCCGACGCAGGGCTTGAACCCACAAACCACGAGATCACGACCTGAGCCAAAGTCAGACGCTTAACCTACTGAGCCACCCAGGTGCCCCTAAATATATAAACTTTTAAAACAAAAAAGGAAAGAAGTTATGCTAGAACTAAGAGAAAATCATACATCTGCTTTCTCTTTGAACCCAGAGTTCAATTACGTCACAGCTTGAGCTTCTGTAACAAAGGATCATAGCCCTTGTGGTTTATAAACAATAGACCTTTATTTCTCATAGTGCAGGAGTCTAGAAGTTTTAGGTCAGGGTGCAGATACTGCCAATTCGTAAGGAGAGCCCCCTTCCACTTTGCAGGTGTCCATCCCTGTGTGTCCTCAGATGGTGAAGAGCAGGAGCTCTGATCTCTTGAGTCCCTGATAAGGGCACTAACCTCTCTGAGGAGTACTCCACCCTCATGACCTTCCTGTCATCTCCCAAGGGGCCACCTCCCAATACCATCACATTAAAGCTTAGGATTTCAACAAATGGATTTTGGAGGGGGATGCAAACATTCAGTCTGTAACAATTTTTCACTGTCTTGATGCTTTTCGTGGTCTGTCAGTAAGACTACTTGTGGAGCGCCTGGGTGGCTTGGTCAGTTAAGTGTCTGACTCGATTTCAGCTTGGGTCAGGGTCTCATGGTTTGTGACATCGAGCCCCACGTTGGGGTCTGCACTGAGAGCATGGAGCCTGCTTGGGATTCTCTCTCTCCCTTTCTCTCTGCCACTCTCTGGTTCACGCTCTCTCTCTTTCTCAAAATAAATAAGTAAACATTTTTTTTTAAAGAAAGACTATTTGTGCAGAAAAGTTTGCAGTTCTGTGTTTCATCCTCTAAACCCTCTTTGATTTCAGCTGTAGCTTCACTGGATGTTCACTACATGCAGCCCTCCAGACCATTGTTTGAGTCTTCCTAATTTCTGCCCCAGAACCTCTTCCAGAACTGCAGAAGTCTGCTCAGTGCTTCTTCAAGTTTAGCATGGAAATGTGGGGGAGAGTTAACACCCTCAAGGACAGCCAGAACTGAGGGGAGACAGGAATGGGCGGATAAATGTTTCAGCCATCTATCTTTCAGACAGACAGTTCTGCTTTCTTCAATAGCAGGGAGCTTATGTTCCCTTATGGTACATTGTTTGGATTTTCCACCAACTCTACTTCATTCTCTCCATGGTGTTGAACCTATTTCTAGGGATAACCAGTATGCATCCAAATCCTTGTCTCAGGCTCTGTTTCAGGACAACCCCAACTCAGTCACCCCTTATGCTACCTTCTTCCCAGCACCATGGCCCTCTCCTTGCTCTGGGTCTAGATACTTTGCTTCCTTTGGTTCGATTAAGGCTTACTTTTCTTATTATTAGAGGAAGACCGTTCTGCCACTGTACCTACTGTTAAAATTGAGTCATATTGCTTACCAAGTACATTATGCATATTCAGCTCACCCAAAGTCCAGTACAATTAAAGTCGCTTTTTATTGAACCCGCACCCCATGTAAGGGTATACACTAAGGGACCCATGAATATTGTTTCATTTAGTCCTCAGTATATCACCAAGAAAGAATCAGTATTTCTGTTTCACAGATGAAGAAACTGAGGCTCAGAAAGATTAAGAGATTTCTTCCAAGACTACAAAGCTAGTGCATGGTAGAATGAGCATTAAGTTCTGACCTCTGACTCCAGAGCCCATTTTCTAAATCACTATTCTATAGAGCTCACCATATAAAGCTCTTAGAGATAAAAATTTCCTTACCAAATACTAATAAGAGCAGCTAAAGAGATGACTGGATTCAGAAGGAGGGACAAGAATTGGTTTGTACCAAATAAGGCAAATTATTTTTTAAAAAGGCTTCTGCTCCTTTGCTCAGGTCTGTGGTGCCAGCATGATGGGAAGGTATCGTGGTCTTCACACTGCTGGGAAGTGGTGTTGCTGCCGGTGAGAGTAGGCGTGGCATGACCAACAGTACAAGAAAGCTCATTTGGGCACAGCCCTGAAGGCCAAACTTTTGGAGGTACTTCCATGTGCAAAGGGAATTATATTAGAAAATTGTACTGGAAAAACTAAGGGTTGAAGCCAAACAGTCAAACTGTGCAATGTGTTGGGGTCCAGCTGATCAAGAACAGGAAAGAAATCACAGCCTTTTTCTTAAATGATGGTCGCTTGAATTTTATTGAGGAAAATAGTGAAGTTCTGGTTGCTAGATTTGGTCACAAAGGTCATGGTGGTGGTGACATTCCTGGAGTCTGTCTTAAAGTCTCATTCATTCATTCATTCATTCGAGAACGAGAGAGAGCACGAGTGAGGGTGAGGGGCAAAGGAAGAGAGGGAGAGAATCTTAAGCAGACTCCACAGTCAGCATGGAGCCCGACGTGAGGCTCGATCCCATGACTCTGAGATCATGACCTGTCCTGAAATGAAGAGTCTGATGCTCAACCAACTGAGCCACCCAGGTGCCTGTAAGGTTGTTCAAGTAGTCAATCTCCTTCTCTCTTTTGGCCTTATGGGAAGGCAAGAAGGAAAGACCAAGATCTTAAGTTTTGTTCATGAAATACGGCAGTGATAAATTTTCATATGTCAAAAAAAAAAAAAAAGCAAAAAACCTTCCTCTATCAACTTATGATTGAACGATAATTAGAAGTATTGGTTTCATCATGAGACCTGGAGCTCCACTACTTCATGTCTTTTCTGGCTCAACAGTGCCTTACACATGGTAGGACTTGGTGAATATACACTGCTGAATGAATTAATTGTAGTATTATAGAATATAGTTTAGGTCAACTTCCATAAGCTCAAATTTTTAGTGATCTGCTTTACTAAACAATGGCCTTTAGCATCTTTTAAGATGATTTGTTCTAACAGTGTCATATAATTTAAGACAGTGTCTAGAACAATGTATAACATGGTTCTCAATGAAATAGGGTGACTTCAGTTAACTTAAGACTATTGGAGGCAAAGAGAGGTGGAAAGATTTCATGTGATATTACAATATGCACCTGATTAGAAAGGTCTAGGTGTGCTAGATTGCAAAGGCCAAGTGTAGTAAACATGAGCCTCTGTGGCGACAGGGAGAGGCTACCCAGAACAGCCATGAGAAGATGTGTTCTCCACTTAGAAAAGAATGAAAGGGTTAGTAGCCCTTCTTCACAACTTAGCTTGTGGGAAATGGTTTCTCTGTCTGACTCTCCTAATCTTCTCAAAGTTAACATATTTCATAAATATTAGAATTTTAACCTCCTTATGAACTGACTACATTTTAGAATCAATTCTATAAACCCCTATCATCTTTATCCTATGGCATCCCTTGATGTAGAGGTAGGAGTTTACCCATACAAATCTTCCCAACTTTCTATTGGTAGAGCATCACATTCTCTTCAAATTGCCATGCAGTTAGGGATACAACTATGTGACAGTTTCTAAAAACTTCATGAGGTTGTTAGTTTAGAACAAGAAAAGAGATGTGCATTTACAATTTCTATTTGTGCTTGTTGGTTTCTGTTAGTTTCTTGTGGCAACTGTAGTCACTGGGAGGCCCTCAAGTATGAAAGCGGAAAGGACTACAATCGCAGGGCCATCATCACGGAC